TTATTTTTCTGTTACAGGAATATTCTCTATAGAGCAGTGTATCGGGCGTGTTGGGGTGATTGGAGTCACCGTGATGTTTATTTTTCTGTTACAGGAATATTCTCTATAGAGCAGTGTATTTGGCGTGTGGGCGTGATCAGAGTCACCCTGATGTTAAGTTTTCTGTTTCAGGAATATTCTCTATAGAGCAGTGTATCGGGCGTGTTGGGGTGATTGGAGTCACCGTGATGTTTATTTTTCTGTTACAAAAATATTCTCCATAGAGCAGTGTATCGGGCGTGTTGGGGTGATTGGAGTCACCGTGATGTTTATTTTTCTGTTACAAAAATATTCTCCATAGAGCAGTGTATTTGGCGTGATCAAAGTCATCCTGATGATTATTTTTCTGTTACAGGAATATTCTCTATTGAGCAGTGTATTTGGCGTGTTGGCGTGATCAGAGTCACCCTGATGTTAAGTTTTCTGTTACAGGAATATTCTCTATAGAGCAGTGTATCGGGCGTGTTTGAGTGATCGGAGTCACCCTGATGTTTATTTTTCTGTTACAGGAATATTCTCTATAGAGCAGTGTTTAGGGCGTGATCAGAGTCACCCTGATGTTTATTTTTCTGTTACAGGAATATTCTCTATAGAGCAGTGTATCGGGCGTGTTGGGGTGATCGGAGTCACCATGATGTTTATTTTTCTGTTACAGGAATATTCTCTATAGAGCAGTGTATTGGGCTTGATCAGAGCCACCCTGATGACAATTTTTCTTTAACAGGAAATCTCTAAAGAGCAGTGTATGGGGCTTGTTGGAGTGATCAGAGTCAACCTGATGTTTATTTTTCTGTTACAGGAATATTCTCTATAGAGCAGTGTATCGGGCGTGTTGGGGCGATCGGAGTCACCATGATGTTTATTTTTCTGTTACAGAAATGGTCTCTATAGAGCAGTGTATCGGGCGTGATCAGAGGCTCCCTGATGATTATTTTTCTGTAACAGGAATATTCTCTATAGAGCAACATATCGGGCATGTTGGCGTGATCAGAGTCACCCTGATGTTTATTTTTCTGTTACAAAAATATTCTCCATAGAGCAGTGTATCGGGCGTGTTGGTGTGATCAGAGTCACCCTGATGTTTATTTTTCTGTTACAGGAATATTCTCTATAGAGCAGTGTATCGGGCGTGATCAGAGTCACCCTGATGATTATTTTTCTGTTACAGGAATATTCTCGATAGAGCAGTGTATCGGGCGTGTTGGGGTGATCGGAGTCATCCAGGTGTTAAGTTTTCTGTTACAGGAATATTCTCTATAGAGCAGTGTATCGGGTGTGTTGGAGTGATCGGAGTCCCCCTGATGTTTATTTTTCTGTTACAGGAATATTCTCTATAGAGCAGCGTATTGGGCGTTTTGGCGTGATCAGAGTCACCCTGATGTTAAGTTTTCAGTTACAGGAATATTCTCTATAGAGCAGTGTATCGGGCGTGTTGGCGTGATCAGAGTCACCCTGATGTTTAGTTTTCTGTTACAGGAATATTCTCTATAGAGCAGTGTATCGGGCGTGTTGGATTGATCAGAGTCACCCAGATGTTAAGTTTTCTGTTACAGGAATATTCTCTATAGAGCAGTGTATCGGGCGTGTAGGAGTGATCGGAGTCACCATGATGTTTATTTTTCTGTGACAAGATTATTCTCTAAAGAGCAGTGTATGGGGCGTGTTGGCATGATCAGAGTCACCCTGATGTTTAGTTTTCTGTTACAGGAATATTCTCTATAGAGCAGTGTATCGGGCGTGTTGGCGTGATCGGAGTGACCTTGATGGCCTTACTGTCAGGGTTTGGTGCAGTCAACTATCCCTACACATCCATGTTCCTTTTTATCAGGTAACACAGTAGTACATTCAACTTTTTAAAGTATTACATAGAGGCCTTTAATCACAAAATATCCTAAAGTTGTGATAATAAGCCTGATTTGAAAATAAGTTGACTTTGAAATAAGCCTAGCTATATATAGGATCCCTTGCAGTCAGCCATATCAGGAAATAAGCTGTCTAAAAATAGGACTAGCACTGAAGGAATTGAAAATATGCCTTAGATTTCAGGTAGGTACCACATTCCAGTTCGTTTGAACTTTTTCGGATTTCTTGATCTATTAATAATATTGTAATAATTTGATGAAAGAAAAAACATTGTTTTATTAAACAGGCATTGTATGATATTATATTTTTCCATTCTGAAAAAAGGACTTCAGAATAAGCCATCAATATGTCTTACTGTCTGAATAACATTAAAAATAAGCCAGCTTCAATAATAAGTCTAAGAGTCCTTACTAAAAAAGAAAATAAGCCTTTCTTATTATCACTATTTTAAGGTATAGAATTTGTGTATTTAATGCTAAATAGTCAGGATCCTTGTCAGTGGAGTTCTGGGGACTTTTGGTGGCCATTCATTGGTCCCATTAGTCAAATTGTATGCCTAATTCCCAAAATATTTTCCCTCCCAATTGGTTTATTTTCGTCCCAAATAGAGACCAAGGAGGCCCCATCCCAAATTAACGTGCTTAGGCCTAATTTCTCGTTTCAGCTATAAATTGATAAACAAATCTTATTTTTTCAAAGATTTAGAAAATGTTTAAAGAGAAGTAAAGCCGAATACTGTTTTCAATGTTTACATTTACTTCTTGATTGTTTTACATGATTTAAGTGAGTTACAAGAAAGCTGGTTTGAGCACAGAATTCATGCTTGAGCATGAGAACGGTTTCATGAATACGGGCCCTGGACTCTCAAATTTGGGTCTTGGGTTATTGATTGAAAGCGAAACGTTTTATGTCCTCGAAAATGTTATAACCGAGACTAGGAAACGATGGGCCTTGTTAAAGATAATTTTGTAAAGGCATACAAAAAACATTTAATCCCTAAACTTAAGCTTATATACCTTTATAGACTTGACATTAATCCTTGAGTGTAGGCTTATATAAGGTAATGTGTTTAACACACTTTACATTGTCTTTCAGAAATGTGACCGATGCTGATATCCTCTCCATAGAGAAACGACTTATACAGACCATGGATATGATCATTCTCAAAAAGAAAAGGTGGAAAATACTGTGTGATAAACTGTTTATCATCTATATACTTCTACCTTAATATATAGAGGATATTTATTGGTGTCTTCAGTAATAACAAATATATTTCACTCGTGTGACTAATATTTTGATATTTTTCACGAGTGCGCAACACGGGTGAAAAATATCAAAATATTAGCCACACCAGTGGAATATATTTGTTATTACTGAAGACACTATTGAATTTTCTATTTATAACATTTTTAAAGCATAAAACATGAAAAATGTAAGGCATTTAAAAAGGGCAGGAATCAGAAGTGTAATAAATAGCACCATATTCTAATGACGTCACGCTTGACAACAAGGCTGCGCACCATTTTGAACTCAACGCAATTCCGACGTTTTCTGCTATTTTCTGGTGTGATTGCTTATAAAACTGTTGTTAATTGTATATTTATGTAAACACTTAAGTGTGTGTACCAAACATTTACCATAACAACCACTTGTTCTACCGTCGCTTCATTTGAATCTGAACAAAAAATTGTTGCCTTTGAATGCAGCGAATAGAAGATACTGTTATAAGTGGTCAATACCAAAAAGCGATATTTTCACACTGAAAATATCATTTTTGAAATTTGTAACAGTGTGAAAAATATCAGTTTTATCAAGTTAATGAAATCCGATATTTCACTAGCAAAAATGTGATAAATTTCTCCATTCATTAAGATTCAGCTAAATACCATATTTCCAAAATGACTTCCAGGCTCAATGATCATTTGTCATACATCCTTGGTCTGTGACAAACATAAACAGATAGAAGATTTGCGTGGAGGTACCTACTACCATGAACATTAAAACTATGTAGAAGATTTTTTTTCAAAACCATTTTATTGTCATTGGCTTTTCCATATGCATGTTTACCCTTAAAATGGTGTTGTTATCCTCACAATATTTCTTCGTAACATTATATATATATTTTTTTATAACAGACTATTTTCTTTCGCTGTCACCTTTGTGTGGATATTATTTCCGGTTCAGAATGTCAACTGGCGCAAGCAGACATTCTTTTTGGGTGAAATATGTTCCCAAATGGGAAAATCAGGAAGGGAAGGGGTTGTGGATGCGCACCAAGAAATATCTAGATAAGATTAAGTGGGGGATGTTTTGTGAGCTTACTTACAGATTCTCTTGTTTGATTTTGTTGTTTATATTTAAAAATAAGTAATTTATTTAATAGAAAATTAATACGTTTTTCTATTGAATACCATCTATATTAAGATTTAATACAAAAAATAATAATTGATTTATCTAATTGCACACACCATGTTTATATTCATTGGTGGGGTAGTACCTCAGCCTAGCTGAGCATATGACAGTCAGAGTTATCTCCCTTGTAGCTTTCTCTTTCTATCTCATAATTCATGGTAAGGACATATCAAAGTTTTTGTATCTAAATTTTCGCTATTTTAAAAATATCATTGTAGCTAATTTGGTTTTTGTGTTTTTCGTGTCTTTGATAATTCACTTCTATGGCAGAATACTCATGTAAATACCTTTATCGTCATTGTCTGTACAGGATTGCAAAGGCGAAGGAAGACAGTCTACGCCAGGCCACTGTCAACAAGAAGCAGGGGGGACTGTGGGGCATGCTGAAAACTGTTACTTCAGCAGCCTCTGGATCTTCAGAAAGTATCCTTATCTTCAGTAGGAGACAGAAAACCGGGGACGGTGGACAGGGACTGAGCATTTTGTATGTTCTGAGTTTATTATTGTTAAAGACGTGCAACATTTTCTGTGGGCAAATCTCATATTTGACTTTTGATGTTTGTGAGAAATATGTGTGACATACATCTGGTTATCATTAACAGTAGGGAAAATTGGAATGAATACTTGTTAGGGCCCTGCATCAGAGATGTGGGTGCCATCCGCCTGTCCCCCTGTCATCATTGTCTGTTTGTTTCCGTAGATTATAGAAGAGCAATAGGGGTTTAAAATGTTTCTAAGGTCAAGGTCATTGTTAATAAAAACCAACCATGAATTATTCCTTAACTTATATCACCAGATGTTGGTTTGTTAAAGCAAGATACAGCAGCTTTAGAAGAACTCAGCCGACAGTTGTTTCTGGAAAGTGTGGATCTTCACTATGCACAGGTAAGTGTTGTATATCACAGGTAAGTTTTGTATATCACAGGTAAGTGTTGTATATCACAGGTAAGTTTTGTATAAGTTTTGTATATCACAGGTAAGTTTTGTATATCACAGGTAAGTTTTGTATATCACATACCTGTTGAATCTTGTTTAATATAAGCAATTTTCAGACTATGAAATACAATGTTCTGTATTGCACATGTGCAATACGGAATGTTGTATTTACCTACTAGCCGGAACTACTTTTTATGGGAATGCCCTTGTCATGACGAACTGAAAAGTTCCTGGTATTTGCAAAAGATTTCAAAGTTTATAAAATCTTTGTATCAATCTATACCATATACGGAAGGTATGTGATAAGCAAGACCACACACTTCTGTTTTTCTAACGAATCAGAAAGCACTCTTTCATTGCGCGGACATATATTCACTCATGGCTCCGTGTACTCGTGAATGTATTCGTCCGCGCAATAAACTCGTGCTTTCTGATTCGTTAGAAAAACGCAAGTGTGTGGTCTTGCATATGTATATCACAGGTAAAATGTATATCTCAGGGTGAAGTGGGATCTCTTAGATAGATTTATATATATTTATATATATAAGTAAACATAAAAACACAAAAAATTGTCTATTTTTATAACAATGACCGAGCACGAAACAAAATCTCTCAACTTATATCAATAACACTTGTTGGCTTGGATGAAAGAGGGGGAGGGGTCTTTATGAGGGATGAAACCAAATTACACAAGAGAAATCTGATGTGATCATGATGAGGCTGGAGACCTATTCCTTTTCACTTCTGATTGGGGAAGCAAACCTGGGTTAAAGGTGAACGACCAGTGCATCATGTACTGCTATGCCTTAGATTTCATTTCTGGGGGGAAATTCGGCAGTTAAATGAAGATTTTTTTCATCATTTTTCAAATCAATTTTATGAATATTTCGAATCACATATGAACATTTTATTTCTGGGGTGAAATTCGGCAGTTGAATGGAGATTTTTTTACATCATTTTCAAAAAGATTATGAATATATTGCATCACATATCTGTAAATTTTATTTCTCGGTTGAAGTCTGCTCTGAAATGTGATTAAAAGGATCTTGAATTTGTTCCCCATTCATACAAGATTTATGAAACTTATTCTTTAGTTTTCTTGTAACTTGCCTGAACACTGCTTAAGCACTTTTCTCATGAAATGAAATAATGAAATAATGAAATTGCCAGAAGTTTCCACAGTAGAATAAAGTTTAGTAATAATTCTGTACTCATGAATAAAAGTTTTTCTTGTTTTACATTGACATTTAGTGTAATATGAAAATAGAAAACACTGACTCATTTTTTCTTTGTTTTTTAGGAGAGGATTGCATATTCAAAGACATTTAAAGGGAAATATTTTAATTTCCTTGGATATTTTTTTTCGATATACTGTGTGTGGAAAATCTTCATTGTGAGTACCCTATGATTATATTGTACATGTATTTCCTAGTTTTTAGGGATCAACCGTTGCCATTTTGAACAAATGTCACTTTTTAAACTGGTTTTAAAAAATCTTTAAAACTATGTTTTAATTTAATACATACTTTGATATTGAAAATGTACAATTTCAGATGTAAACATTTCCAGTATTTCCAGTATCTGGATGAGTCCATTATGATATATAGTGGTTAAAGGGTTAAGCAAATACTCATATAACTAATGACCAACTAAATTTCAGAAAGTAAATAGCAGTCTGCAACTAAAATCTAAAATTTAAAAGTTCAAAAATATGTTTTAATTCAGGTTTTATTTTTCCATGTTGGTCAGATTTAGGTAATCAATCCATATTTGCCCTAAGGCCTGAACTTCAGCATTGTGAAAAGATTAACTTTTTAGGTAGCTTAAATTCAAAATGACCAACAAACCATCTGCAAAATTTTGTATCAACAAATATTTTGGTAAGTAACGTAAAACCATGATGGAAGTTAGCTTGATATGATTCTGATTGGTTGAGATCAGTTTTGATTCTGATTGGCTGAGAATAGTTTTGATTCTGATTGGTTGAGAACAGTTTTGATTCTGATTGGTTGAGAACAGTTTTGATTCTGATTGGCTGAGAAAACCTTTGATGTTAATTAACAGTCGACGGTCAACATCATCTTTGACCGAGTGGGCAGAGTGGACCCCATCACCAGAGGAATAGAAATAGCCGTTAACTTCTTTGGGATACAATTTGATGTAAGTATAACAGAAAGCTGTTCTAGGTTTGACACGATCCAGTTACAGTATCCATTCTCCCTCGGGGGGGTGGGGGGGAAATCTTTGTAATTTGATATTTTCATTGCATTCCTATTGATCATTGAAGGAAATATATACACATTACCCTGTAAGAAACACTGGGACCCGTATTCATGAAATTGTTCTCATGCTAAAGCATGGGATTGTGTGCTCAAGCTTATTTTCTTGTTACGGTTATAAATTAATAATAAAACTTTAATTTGTCACTGATTTGAAAGAACTTTGAAGAGACTTGAATCCAAATAATGTTTACATTTGACTTTTTGATCGTTTGACATGAAGTAAGTTACAAGAAAGTTGGTTTGAGCACATAATCCATACTTGAGCATGAGAATGGTTTCTTAAATACAAGCCCAGACTGTAGCAGATATTTCAGGTATAATGTCCGTCATGTTATCACTCAGAATACAGTCAAACTTCCATAAATTGAACTTCAAAGATTTGAATGTCTCCATGTGTCAAACTGTTTAACACTGCTGATGTTCGATTTATGAATCAAACTTTTCTAAGTCAAACTTCGTGCTGCTTCGAACTTCAATCAAGGTCCAATTGCCAGGAAAACATTGCCAATTATATTATTAAATCAAAGTAAAATAATCGGCTTGGAACGTTAACTCCTGAAGATGTAAATTACTGTGCAAACATACCTTTTCGAAATACATTAAACACAATATTGGTAGATTTCAAATTGAACTGTTTGCCTTGTGTTCACAATCACGTCGCTTCTTATTCAGATTTCAAAGATGTTTGAAGTTCAACATTTGTGAATCAAAGTCTCAATGTTTCAAATTTATCTTGATGGTCCCGCAAAGTTTGAAACATCAAAGTTTGAAAGTATAAGAAATTCAATCTTTAGAAAACTGATGATGAAAAATAAATTTGTGTTCAGTTTGAAGGTTTGAATCAATCGTGAGGGCAAAATTGGAAAAACATGAATGATAAGTGTTCAACATGTACTACAAAATTCCTATACAAGTATTTTTATAAACTAATCTTTTTAATCATCTATTTTCTCTTAGGAATCTTCAAATTGAAAGCAAAATTGGGATTTTGTTTATCCACTTTTTCTCCCTCTAGCCAATATCAGTTTTAACTTCATCATGAATGCCAGTATGTGTCGTTCATGTTCTTACTCTCGTAGATTTACTTAAATGAAATAAAGGAGACAGAAGGAAGTAAATAACGTTTTTCACCTTGATGGGACTCATAAACTTGAATTTAATATCGAATAAACCATGATTTTATTTTTTACAGGTAACATTTTGGGCACAGCAGATATCTTTTGTTCTCATAGGAATCATAATTATAACATCTATCCGAGGGTTACTGCTGACCCTTACTAGAGTAAGTATACTTACTGGACAACCCTTGATTATTCTGCTGACCCTTACTAGAGTAAGTATACTTACTGGACAACCCTTGACTATTATTGGATGTAGTAGTATAGGTATCTATATGCACCCTAGTTGACAGAGATATCCACGCTGCTGGTCAGGATAAGATTTATAAAATCTATTACCTGTAACTGAATGAGATCGGGTTATCTCAGTCGCGGGCTATGATTCTGTAACGTTGTCCCAACTGAGGCGTAAGCTGGGGTTGGGATGTTACAGAATCTTAGCCCGAGACTGAGATAACTTGATCTTGGAAGTAGACAACAGAAATAGCACCTGTTGTCAAACGTGTGAGACCTAGATCTCCAACAGTATAAGTGGTGTCCATAAACAGATACACAGATTTTATTCTGACTGGAAAATCCTCTGCTGTAATCTCTGTCAATTGAAAACAAATATATAATTCAGAGTCAGCATTGGCCACAGGTCAATGGTTTTTCTCCGGGTACTCCAGCTTTCCTCCACCATTAAAACTTTGCACGTCCTTAAGTGACCATAGCTGTTAATAAGATAAAAATCTAAACCAAACCACACCAAAGATATAATTATATAATAATTACAACATTATCATGGACATATCACCTCATAATTATTCTAAATGACAGATTAGATAGTTCGGGTGTGTATTAAATGTAAGTATTGCCAATTGAAGTCATTTTGTGTGTTCTTAACTTTGAAATAAATATTCAATCAATATATTTATTTACAGGGGGATTATAACTGGTTCCCTGTATCATTATAGTGTATCAATTGGTTTCTCAGTGATGGTCGAGACAAGATTCAAATAATTTAACAGTACTTGATGAGATGATCGCAATAAGTAAATAAATATTAAAAATTCTATGATTAAACAAGCATCCATCATCGTGTGTCGTCCGTTAACATTTTTCATTTTCAACTTAAGCTGAAATACTGTCAAAAGGATTTTATTTATATTTCCTGGGAATGTTACTGACATCTCCCTGACCAGGTGTTGTAATTTTTCGGGTCGCTCAGAAATCCAATATGACCACTAATGACGCCATTTTGAAAAAAATTCTTACAAACTTAAAGTCAAGTTCTAATCGGTTGATTGAACTGAAACCTTTTAGGAATGAAAGACTCATGGTCCTGACAAAGTGTCGTTAATTTTGCGGGTCCATCAGATATCCAATATGGCCGCCAATGCCGCCATTTCGGAAAAAATACTATTTCAAACTTAAAGTCAAGTTATATATAATGGGCCAATTTAACTGAAACCTTTTAGGAATGAATGACTCATGGTCCTGACAAAGTGTTGTTATTTTTCGGGTCGATCAGAAGTCCAATATGGTGCCTTTACTAGGTCAAGGTCACTGTTACTATTTATAGAAAATTGTCAAACAGTGAGATACATTTTCTGTGGCAAAGGGCATTCAAGTGTTACACACTCCTCTAGTTTTACCCAAACTTTGTAGTGATAACTGATTGATGGACTTGGCACTGGTGAAAAACATTTTTTTGTATTAATGTACTATATATTCACCTTTCACATCATCATTTCAACAACAACAAACTACTGTAGGAATGTTTGTATTGTTTGTACTCATGGCCCCTTCTGGCAGTATTCTTATTGCATGTGATGAAATTGAATTGGTAACCTCAGGGTCATATTTTCCTGTTGTGATTTTAAAAAATGTTCTATAATGTCTCCTCTGACACGTCTGTAAGTCAATGTTGGAGCTGCCAGAGTTTAAGTCTGTCTGGATAGGACAGGTCTTCCGTTCCCGGTATTAATTCAGTGGCTTTTCTCTGGGTGTTTTCATTTGCCTCTATATGTTTCACTAGATGTGGGCTTCGCATTTGGTTGCAGTATTCTGAATGATGTCTTATGTATTACAGTCCATATATTCCATTGTTTTTCTAATCAGCTCCTTGGCTTTTTTTTTTCTTTTTCAGATAGATGAGCATTGAATGAAAGTTTGTTATCAATAGTTACACCATAGTCTTTTTTGTCTATGTAATTTACCGGTAACTGCTAATACGGTTCCAGTTTACACTACACAGAAGTCAGTATAATGTAATCGCGGATAGTAAATTGTTCCGCTACCTTTGTCCAAAGACTGTATATACCATGACACTAGATATCTGTATGTACACTTAAGTACATTACGTAGAAACATGAAGTTACATAGCAGGGATCAGTCACCCAAATTATCACAGATAACGGTCCAGAGAGCAAGTAATCAGGACGGCCACTGCCTAACACGCTTTCTGGAGGTCATACAGAAATGACAATTCTAAAATATGTACTCTGAAACAAAGTTAAATTGTATTACCAAAGCATGTACAGTAGTATTTACATTGGTTTATTTACAGTTTTTCTATGCCATAGCCAGCAGCAAGTCGTCGAACATTATAGTTCTCTGCCTCGCCATGATAATGGTAAGTCTGATTTCAATATTAAGGATCCATCTCCCAAAAACTGGATCTAAAAATTGGAAATATTAGTTTTGATAAATCAGTTCTGGTATGTAAACAATACCTTGCAGAACTTTCATGGGGGAAAAAATAAATGCAGTGGGGCAAGGATTCTTAAGTGTCATTCTATGTTGTCAATAGTGATATGTAGCTATAAATAGAACTATGACACGAGAGAAAAATGTTAGTTTCAACATTTGATACATCATATATCTAATCTGTTATCCATCTATATAATACATAAGTAAAATGTAGACTTCTCTTACTTTGAAAGAAAATATTAATCAATATGGCTACAGGATACAGTTAAACCTGTATTAAGAACCCTGTATAATCTGAACTTAGCCGATACTAGAGGTGGTTTGATTAGGCAGGTCGCATTGTGTTTATTCTCACAAACAATGTATAATGGCATAAAACCATATATTCATTGACATTGCCACATGAAACAATTGATGGCGCCCCAGCCTTAGTCACGTTGCATGTTCCATTTAGTGGAGTGTTTCATTTGTGCCGCGACGGAACAGGCACCCCCCTAAATGGAATGTGACATTCCACAAGAATTAACCGCTTTTCCAGGAAATCCATCATGTAAGAGTACCAAGCTGGATTTGATATGGTGGCCAGTGAAAAGTTTTCGTTTCAGATTTTCACTGAATGGTATATTGGTTTATGTATAACAACTTAAATTCAGTCTAGACTCCCAGAGCTTTTAAATTTGGATGGTAGCTGCACTGTTTTACATTTTTTTTTTTCACCTTAACAGCTGAGATTTATTCTGGAGAAATTGTCTATTTTTCCCGTGAGATTATTAGATTGGCATGTGTAGGAATGTAAGGAATGCACTGTTACTTTTAACAGACCAATTCCAAGTTGGCACAACTGAAACGGTCCGTTATATGGAATGTATTACTAGTGAAGACTTACAGCGTTGAATTGATTTGACATGAAATGCCCGTACCATTTTCAATAAATAACTGTAATTTGAATGTTTTCTTACAGGGGATGTATTTTGTTTCTTCGGTCCTCCTCATCAGAATGAACATGCCAGCTCAATACAGGTGAGATAGATTTCCCCGCCTGCTAGTTAATAAATAAATAACATAAAACAGTATATTTTTTTTGGCTTGACATCCGTTTTAATCCATAAATATATTATGCCTGCGACATCAATAAAGAGGGACTTGGGTGTCACTTTTCAGGTAACAGTGTTAATGTTAAATTTTTGCAGTAAGCTCTGTTTCAACAAAGTATAAGTGCTAGTTTAGAACAAATCTTCATTGCGATTCATGCATCAGATACCGAGTGTTTCTTAAAGTGGTCCTTGTTACTCCAAGAGGTTATCTTCACTTCCCTCTCTGCACCCCTGGAGTATGTCAAAGCTAAATTGTAGGCATGTGGCTAGCTATGTGATGGGTCTCGTGTAAAAGATACTTACCAATTGCTGGGCTGATACCTGTCCTTTGAAGATTACAGAAGAGCAACACATGACTTCAATGCCAGTCAGTTTTACCATTATGCGACTGCAAGATTCTTTTTCATGTACATTAACAAGTCAAACTAGTCTTTTAGTTTCATCTGCAAAATGGTCACACGTTTGAGGATGCACTCCAGATGAAGGAGCTTCCAATAACTAAGATGGTTTACAAACCATAGAAAATGAAGGAGTGTGGATGAAAAAATAATTGATTTTGTGTTTCTAGGTCATTGTATGCAGTAGCACAATTTGAAGTTGAAGTCAATAATACTAGTACAGTTGATAAAAGATTTCTATTGGTGGAAATCTTTAAAAAGGAGGTTATTTTTACAGAAATGTAGCGAATTTCCTTAACTAAGATGGCTAAAAGTTGTTTGTCTGACTTTATGTTACAGGTCAATTATTACAGAAGTGCTGGGAGATCTCCAGTTTAATTTTTATCATCGCTGGTTCGATGTCATCTTCCTTGTCAGTGCGCTTTCCAGTATAGGATTTCTGTACATAGCTCACAAACAGGCACCGGAGAAAGACATATTGTAACGTGAGGCTGTGTTCTAAAGAATTTACATGTACATCAACCTCAGAGACAGGCATCTAGACATTGTTACATATGTCTGTGTTTTATACAATTAATAATACAATACACACCCTAACAGGAACAAGTGAAGGACATGATGTGCGCTGTGATGCTAAGGTGGTAGATCACGCATCATAGAAACAGGATATCTCAACCCCTTGGGGTGAGATAGGGAAATCCTGAAGTTGTTTTGCTGAGTTTTTGATAACTTTAGAATATTTTCCAGAGGGTTGAAATTCCCAATCTCACCTCAAGGGGGTGAATGATTCGTTTTTTTAGCTCACCTGCCCGAATGGCAAGTGAGCTATGCCATGGTGCAGCGTCCATCGTCCGTCGTTGTGTTGTTGTGTTAAACATGTCTACATAAATACATTTAACTTTATTTATTTCACGAAAGCTTTGCCTTTAACAAAATGTCAGAAGATTCATATGAATAAAGGAATTTTGTGATTAATATTTTTTGTATGATTATTACCATATAAGGTAACTTTCCAATAGCATTGGAAGGCTCCTATGTGCAATGGCTCCGGGTCAAATTCCGGAGAGGGTATGTGTGGCATGTGGGATTCCCAACATATTAACTTTTTTTTGCAGTGTGAACTCCTCATACTGAGTTAATAATTGATATTCTTTGAACGACCCCACCCCCTCACTTACAACTTCGCGACCTTCATTTTGACCTTTGACTTCCACACTCTTATGTAAAGCTGAACTATATTGGGGCATGGTAGCACAATTTGAAATGTTTGAGATATTTTGTGTACATCAAATGTGTAGAATATTAATAAATATTGGCTTGTGACTTTAAAGCACTTTTACTTCATGGAGCACCTATGCTGCTTGTCAGTCCATGGGCTGGACAGACAGAGGGAGGGACCAAAATGTTAAGCCTTATGTTTAACAAGTCCTCTAAAAGACGGTATAGTCACCCTAAATTGAAACCTCGCTAGTTAAAGAGAAATTAATCTTCCCATGACCTACGTATATAAGTAAACTTAGATATGTCTTTTAGTAGCATTCAGTTGTTGGCAAAGCAGTTGACATGTTATTATGCGTAAAACTATTTTTATAGAGACATTGGCCTTATTGACTTATTACAGATTAACTTCAAAAAGTGATGCTTTTTTATAAATTTTCAGTTCAAAATATTGAAAGTACATACCTAAATTCAATTTTTATTGCGTTTTTAAACATGACTTATCAAGGAGGTGACAATAAGATTGATCTAACATCTTCTAGAGGACTTGTTTGAAATTTAAACAATTGTTTGGTATACCATAACAGGTTGGTTTGTATGCTATTTGTCGTATGTCACGCCTCATATATACACTGGTGTCTTCACGTCCCTTTTGATATGCCGTATTGCTAAGCATAAGGAGTAACCCATTAATGTCTGATGTACAAGTCATGACTACATGTACTAGACATCTTCTTACATCATCCTTTCATTGATTGGTTCAACCCAGGCTCGATTTGACTCGTAATGTTCCTTGTATGAATTGAATCATTAAACACAAGGTGTAAAATATATAAATGTACTTTATTTACAAATCCAACACAATAACATGGATACAACGTATTTAGCTGCCCAAAGAATATCTAACTCGCACCTACTGCTGCAGTTTTGTATCCCGATCTTACCAAATGTCCAAACTGTGCTGTGTCCTAATTTTCAAAAGTAAATATGGACCCATAAAAGAATATTTCAACCTCTTTTTCATTGTAAAAGGGATTTAAAAAGAATTTATCAAAAAATATATGATATGATTTCTAAAAGATTATGTTTCCTATGTAACTTTTTACTGTACAAAGCATTTTGCAGTTTCAATTGTTAGTGAAATTACGACAGCGTATTGATTCAAAGAAAAATACAAAAATCATAGTTATCGAAAACTTACTGATTTGGGTGTCACAAATTGTGGTCACATGATTCACAATGAGAAAGGCACTAGAAAGTCCACATTCTTTTTTCAGTGTTATGGAAAATGATCACCAAATATGTCTATTTTCAGTATTTTGGCGCTCTTTCCCATACTACATATTTTCTTAGCAATTGCCTCCATTGTTACACCCTGCTCAATCATTTTCTCGTGTGGAAAATCGCCATTTTCTGGGAATGCCTGTTTCGGGAATCCTCTCACCAACATCAAAGTGCAGATTGGTTCTTCGTCATCGTTTCCCATAACGATTCCGGGTGACCCAGACGCTCCGCGCTGGACCCAACAATCGAACAGAACTTTCCCTTCGTCCCGGATTCCCTCATATCCAGATTTTTCTTTGTCATCTTTTATCATATATTCACGCCGCTCGCTATTTTTCAGATCAAAAAGTTTAATATTGGAATCAAATTGCATTATTTCACTTTTCGGTTTAGCCGGGTGACCAAGCAATGCAAATAATTGACTGTTGTCTGGTTTCCCAAACTTTGTTATTGGTTTTGGGATTTCAAAAGCTACCGGTTTCAATTCTAAAAATGCAAAATCAAGGTGCCGGTCACCTGCTATCAGCTCCGGTTCAAAGTAGAATTTGTCAATGGCGCTGTTTTTGGGGAAATGGAACTCGATCCAAACTTGTTTGGAATCAAGCTTTGACCAGTCGACATCGTCAGATTTGTTTTGTTCTGTAAAGAAATATAATTTTATTGATTTGTATATATAAGATATATATAAGAGTATTTTTAGCACATCATCATCCGATGGTGGGCTATTAAAATCAACCTTCATCTTTGGTCTGTCTATCTTGTACTTTCTTGTTTGCGCTATTTCTCAAAAAGTACTTGAGGGATCTTTCTCAAATTTCACAATAAGGTTTTCCCTGGTCCTGAGATATGAATATCGAATATAAGGAAAGATTGAAAAACGACAAACGGCCACCTTAAATTTTGAAAGATGAAGTTTGTTAGCGCTATTCCTCAGAATGTACGCCGAGATCTTTCCCAAATTTCACATAAAGGCTCCTAATGATGGTATGATGGTGGGCGCGTAGATCCTCCTTGGATCTGATATATGTTTGCGAACATTTATTTATAACATATTTGATGTTTTCAACAAATGCAATTTTGCAAATATTTCCATGTATTGAGTCGCCTTGACCTTGACTTTCAAATGTTCCCGACTGCACGATTAAGATTTCTCAATGTGAACTAAAGGAGCAATTGAAAAAAAAATCTGGTTGCCTCTATTGAGCCCTGTCCTGCTGCACTTTTGGGAGCCATTCCTGGTCCATTTTGTTTAAAAATATCGACCCAAATTGGCCACGGTCATATGTCATAAAGAAGGGCCAAGCCCACTGTTTACAACGATTGATTTGATTTTCGCAAGAATGCTCGAGACATTTTTTCCAGCATTTTGTGTCAGCTTGTATAATTTATGAAGAGGTACAAGTGTAATCAGGACCAAAACAAAAGATGTTTCTTTTATGTGCTAGTTACAAGGAAACATAAGATAAAAAAATTAAAAACAATCAACATTTATATCATCAATCTTACAAACCTTTTTTAGCTCACCTGCCCAAGGGCAAGTAAGCTTATGCCATGGCGCGGCGTCAGTCGTCCGACGTCCGTCGTCCGTCAACTTTCCTAAAAATCGCTACTGGTCATAAATGACTGAGCAGATTTTGACCATTTGGTCAAAAGCATCCTTAGGGGAAGGGGAACAAATTTTGTATAAATGGTGAGTCTGGCCCCCCTGGGGGCTTAGGGGCGGGGCCAAATAGGGGAAATATAGCAAATTCTTTAAAATCCTTCTTCTGCAGGAATGAAAGGATTTGTTCCATATTTGGTCTGAAGCATCTTTGGTAGAAGGGGTACCAATTTTGTACAAAACGTGGGTCTGGCCCCCCTGGGGCCTGAGGCCAAATATGGGAAACATAGCAAATTCTTTAAAATCCTTCTTCTTCTGTAGGAATAAAAGGATTTGTTCCATATTTGGTGTGAAGCATCCATGAGCGAAGGTGAACCAATCGTTTATAAACCGTGGGTCCGCCCTCCCCAGGGACCTGAGTGGCGGAGCCAAAAGGGGGCAATTGTGCTATATTGATTTAAGCGACTTCTTCTCTGGAACTAAGAAATAGATATCAACCATATTTGACTGGAAGCATCCCTCGGTAGTGGAGATTCAAAATTGTACAAATGGTTGGGGTGACCCCCCAGAGGGCTGAGGGGAGGGTCCAAAAGGGGGCAATTTGGCTATATTGCTATTAACGACTTCTGCTGTAGAATTATGCCATGGATATTGATCATATTTGGTCAGAAGCATTTATGAGAGGCAGGGATTCAAAATTGTACAAATGGTGGGGCTGACCCACCCCTCCCCGTGCTAAGTGGTGGGGCCAAAACAAGTTTATTACTTGGAGATGGTTGATATCCCCACGGTATAACCATATATACAACTGTGGAGTATAAAGAGAAGCATGCGCATTTGCTTCCAGGATGGCCTAGGGTCTGGCCCCACCCTTTGAGACATAGTCCATGGGGCATAACTTTGAAATGGTTGAGATCCCCAACCCAGAACTATATATACAAATGCTTGGCAAAAAGAGACAAAAGTAGTCATGGTATTAGAATAGACCCTGGGGTCTGACCGAACCCCTAGGGACCGTGTTTCGTAGTCACAGCTTGGAAACAGTTGAGATACAATTGCTGAGTATAAAGAGATGAATGCACATATGCTTCCAGGATGGCCTTAGGGTCTGCCCCATACTTGCAGACTTAACCCCTAGGTCATAACTTTGAAACAGTTGAGATCCCCACCCCAAGACTATAAATACAAGTGCTGGACAAAAGGAGACGAATGCAGTCTTGATATTAGATTTGATCCTGGTGTCTGGCCACAACCCTAGGGATCTAGTTTTTAAGTCCCAGCTTGGAAACAGGTGAGATCCCCAACCCATAACCATACATTAAATTGCTGGGCATTAAAAATCTAATACAGACATACTACAAGAATTGGCATTGGAGTCTGGCATATTCCCTTGGATATCATTTGGAAAATAGTTTGCCATGATTGCTTAGATATCCAGGTGAGCGATTCAGGCCCTCTGGGTCTCTAGTTATGATTTGTGAACTTGAAGGTGGGCAAAGGTAATTCATTTAAACAAATTTAGAAGCCCTTTATCCAAGAATGCTACTGGCATGATAACCCTCCGCTTCCAGTATTGATATTTTTTAATATTTAACACCTGACCCATGTGACGTTGAAAGCAGGTCAAGGTCATTTCTTTGATGCAACTTTGTACTTCTCTATCCCAGCATGCTATCGGCCAACTATCATCACCCTGGCACTCTTTGTTATTAGGAGGAAGGTTTTTACACATTTGACCTCTGTGACCTTTAAAGTTGGTCAAGGCAATTTGCTGCAGGAAATCTTACACTATACTACCCTACAATGTCAAATATAAAAATATACCAAGGGCCTCCTGGTTATGCATACATAGTTGTTTCAAGGTTTCTATATATTTGAACCCTGTGACCTTGGAAGTAGGTCAAGGTCATTTATTTGAAAATACTTTATAGCACTCCATGCAAGGTACAAACTGATCAACTTTCAACACACTGGGCCTCCTGGTTATTCAGGAGTTGTTTAAACGTTTTATATATTTGATTCCTGTGACCTTGAATGTAATTCAAGGCCATTTATTCAGGCAAAAAATATAGCACGCATCACAGAATGCTACTGTCTTATTACCACTATCACTTTAGTAAAACTTTGGTTTAAGCTTATGAAGTATTCAACGAAATTCACACTTTGCGATACGTTTTACAGAACTATGGTAGTTCGAAGTTTGATTATTGAAAATGGAAATAAAAAGAAAACTGCAGGACCTTTACAATTGTTGCCATCAAGGAACTATAAATTGCAATTCCTCAAAATAAGTTGCCAATATATTGGCAAAAAAAGCTACGAACATCTTGACAAGGGAAATTGTTTTAAGCCTGAAAAGCTCGAAGTAGAATCATCGTTCATACTAACTTACTTGTTATGTCTGCAGCGACATGGTAGGCGGTGAGAATGTACTTGGTACCAACTCTTATCCCTGTTCCGGTGTAAAGTGGCCCTCTGATGCGTCCAACAGCGTGTCTTGCACGCGTCCACACGTCAATTATTCTTGCGTCGTGGGTATTGTCCATCTGTTTTCTAAACTGATAAGGACGGTCTTCTTCATCAACAACTATAGAGAGAAAATGTCAGAAGTCATATTACAGCTGATCATTCTGTAGTGTTGGCATTTAATTTATATATAAGTAGTGAACAGGTCANTTGAATTGAAGTGCATGATTCTTTCAGGTTAAATAGAAAATAAAATAATACAGTTGGTTCTTTACTTTGAGCAACATAACACTGTTGATAATTGAATATTTTCATTTATGTTTAAGAACGAAAAAGATGATAAGGTCGAATTTTCGGTAAGGTGGAATTTAGTGACCCCGCGGTAAAGGGATTATCAGATGGAAGGGGACTAATAACATGATTCGGCTGATAACACATAGTTGTGTTCTGGTTGTGTTTTGTGATAGATATGATCTTACATTTGTGTCCATATATTGAACTTATTAACTCATTCAATAATTTGATATGACATTGGCACTAATGTAAGATCCTTTATGTATGGCAGAAACCTCATGTATTAATAAGGTGAAATATACCACTAGAGTGTAATGAACCGTAATCTTCTAGAAACAGTTATAGTTAGGGCCATTCAGTGTCTCCTGGTCAAGTAACTCCTTTAAGAATAAAATGTACGTAAATTATTTGGAGCACTCCTCCATTTGAAGAAAATTCTGGCATTCTGTCCTGGCATAATTGTTTTTGTACTTTGTTAAAATTACAAAAAACATACTTACCTTTGATCCGTTTCTCATTGCTAGGCTTGGATTCATCTCCCTGATCCCGGTCACCACTGGGTCCCTGTTTTCCTGCAGACGTAGATCAGGCATAGTATTAATACGACTTCCTTCATAAATATTTTTTGTGAATAGAACAAATAAAAGCACTAGGACTGTGTTCACACCCGTCAAAACATTGGTTAATTAAACTAAAACGCTACGATTACCCCCAGAATAATGCTACATCATTAAACATTTTATATATAGTACGCACCTAAATTTTGAAAACTGTCCCCTATTAAATCTAAGAAATCAGTGTAATGCTATATATATTTAGTGATGTTGAATATGCAGACAAATAAGGCTGACGGTTCCATTGTTACATAATTCCATCTCAAAATAGAACAATGTATCATACATTGTACTTTCTTCATATTTCTAGTTATTATGTTATGTAATAAGCTTTTTGACACTGCTGGTGGACTGTCGGATCACGAGGATGATCGTAGCCTTGATTTATTCTGGTTTGGTTTACATAAAATATTATTTGAATGGTATTTATCTGTTACATTTTCACGGTTTTATAAGTTGCCTGCCCTTTTCGTTGTATTATACATACGATTCAGAACACTTTAGATTTGACCAGTGGTAAGCGCAGAAAAGTCCAGTACACAGAATTCGTTCCGTACAGACACTATCAATGTGAATCGTTAGGGATTAGAGGAATTTTACTACTATATTGTGACCTTAACTGAGGTGTTCAGAGTAATATCTACACATTCAAGGGGTTTAGTTCAACTTTAAGTTTAAAAAAGAAAAGCCATCCCAATGATTTATACGGGAATGGATGAAAGCTCTTGATGTCGAATGATTGACTCCACGTGCAAAACTTCCTCACACCACAAATACATTTCTAGTTGATGTACAAAATATGCCTGATAGCGTTTAACAGATGGATAAGGTTTCTTTTAAAACGTAAAATGTATTCCCCTTCAACTGAAATTATCTACGTGTCCTCCGAAAACACACGCAATATTTTTTCTTACATCTTTAGCTCACCTGGCCCGAAGATAAAATTTCAAATTTCAAACAACAATATCTTTAAAAGCGTTTAAGAGATGTTAAAATGTCTTGTGTTCTAGTTACCTAATTTGGTCTGAAGTTACCTTTATGTCAGTTTCATGTAACAAAAGAAACAGGTGAGCGATACAGGCCCTCTGGGCCTCTTGTTTGCAGTCATAGAGCCACCATTTGGGAAAATGTCTGTATGATTGCGAACAAAATTGATTGATCGAAACAGCATGTGGTGAAACGGAGGTCATGTCCATCGAAAAAGAAGAATTTTGCATGCATATAGAAGTTTTCTAAAAGGGAAAACAAAATCTGGAACAGTAGGAGTAAACCCATCAACCGTGTTACTTTACTCTGAACAACCAAGATTAGGTGCAAATATAGCTGTTAAAAATCTCAGGTTCAGGTGGTATAAACTTACTCTTTCTGTCAGCACCATTTCTCCCACTGAACATCGGCTGTGGCTCGTCGTTATTTTCTCTACCTGAATGGCAGAAAAGGATAGTACGAGTTGGTTTCGTGCTATATGAACAAAGAGGTATGGCGGAAAACTGCCCGTATTTCCCTAAGTCGGCATTTATGAAAACGGGGAAAAAAATTAAGGAGTAAAACATTTCGGGTAGCAAAAATGCATACAAAAGACACAAAACCAATTGAATATGATTTTTTAAACTGCTGAGAAATTAGGTATTGCTAATATGATACTGCAAATATAGCCATATACACTATATCTATGAAAGTGATGGGGTTTCCCGGACTTTTTGTGAACGTGATGTAATTTGCAAAATGAAATCGTATTACGGAAAAGTGGTCCTCCTTTGGGAAAGTGCTCAAAATAATGAAAAACAGAGGTGATCAAGTTTCTCTAAACTGCGACCGGTGTTTCTCGGGTTAAATAAGTTTGTAATTGCCAATATCTATATGTTCTATGTAGCCGAATGTGTAACGCAGTTACTTGCGACTAGAAAATAAACGGTGCAGGTTCGAATCCTCCTTAAGTTATATATTTTTTAAAAATATTTAGGCATGTGATCATTTTCCTTCATAAGGCAATTTTGTTTTTTAAATCGATGGAAAATTTTGTTTTCATTTTAATAACATACCTATTGTTTTATCAGTTTTGTTAGTAATAATTTCTTTACTATTTAGTGCGACATACTTCTATCGAAGCATGTCAACAAATCCCTGTACATGTGTACAGTACAGCTACGCTTTGTAGGTAAGACTATTTTTGATGAAGTTTATGAATTGTTTTACCCTCCAACTAGCAATAGTAATTATATCAAGTGCTTAAAAACCAACAAATAATGCCGAAATACCAAATATGTGGTCTGTTTACAATAATCTATTCTTAGACACGGGATTCCGATATAGCTACCTGTATAAAAAATACCTGAGGACGCGTCATAACAGTGCACGGTTGGATGCGCGCACTAGCGTAACATAGCTTTGGGGANCAGTGGTAAGCGCAGAAAAGTCCAGTACACAGAATTCGTTCCGTACAGACACTATCAATGTGAATCGTTAGGGATTAGAGGAATTTTACTACTATATTGTGACCTTAACTGAGGTGTTCAGAGTAATATCTACACATTCAAGGGGTTTAGTTCAACTTTAAGTTTAAAAAAGAAAAGCCATCCCAATGATTTATACGGGAATGGATGAAAGCTCTTGATGTCGAATGATTGACTCCACGTGCAAAACTTCCTCACACCACAAATACATTTCTAGTTGATGTACAAAATATGCCTGATAGCGTTTAACAGATGGATAAGGTTTCTTTTAAAACGTAAAATGTATTCCCCTTCAACTGAAATTATCTACGTGTCCTCCGAAAACACACGCAATATTTTTTCTTACATCTTTAGCTCACCTGGCCCGAAGATAAAATTTCAAATTTCAAACAACAATATCTTTAAAAGCGTTTAAGAGATGTTAAAATGTCTTGTGTTCTAGTTACCTAATTTGGTCTGAAGTTACCTTTATGTCAGTTTCATGTAACAAAAGAAACAGGTGAGCGATACAGGCCCTCTGGGCCTCTTGTTTGCAGTCATAGAGCCACCATTTGGGAAAATGTCTGTATGATTGCGAACAAAATTGATTGATCGAAACAGCATGTGGTGAAACGGAGGTCATGTCCATCGAAAAAGAAGAATTTTGCATGCATATAGAAGTTTTCTAAAAGGGAAAACAAAATCTGGAACAGTAGGAGTAAACCCATCAACCGTGTTACTTTACTCTGAACAACCAAGATTAGGTGCAAATATAGCTGTTAAAAATCTCAGGTTCAGGTGGTATAAACTTACTCTTTCTGTCAGCACCATTTCTCCCACTGAACATCGGCTGTGGCTCGTCGTTATTTTCTCTACCTGAATGGCAGAAAAGGATAGTACGAGTTGGTTTCGTGCTATATGAACAAAGAGGTATGGCGGAAAACTGCCCGTATTTCCCTAAGT